GTTGTCGTCCCTGCTCTCCTTGTCCTTCTTCGACTCCTCCGATGCTGCGCAAGAAGGAGAAGCACGAGGAGAAGAAGGAGAAGCACGAGGAAGAGAGTGCGCAGCATACCGCGGCTGCGAGTGCTGCTGGCCGCCGCCCGACGGCCGCTTATTCTCGTTGCGCCGCTGGGCCACGGGCGTGGTGCTGGCCGATGATGACGCTGACGACGAGGCCGTCGTGGTGGTCGACGAGTTCTTGCTCGCCGCACTCGGCCTGAGTGCCACGGCCGGGATGTCCTGCTTGCTCTCGCGCATGGGCGCCAGCATGTCCCGCACCACCCGCCGCTGCGGTCCTGGTGTCGCTCCGGGCACTGGTGGGACGACGGGCGTCGCCGATTGGCTGCCGCCGCCGCTGGAGCTTGACGACGACAAGCTGCCAGCGCCCGACGTCTTGCCGGCCGAGTCGGCAGCGGTGCCGTCGCTGCTGGGGTTGACCGGCTCGATGACCTTGTCCGACGGGGTGCTGAACCGACGGGTGCTGATGAACGAGCCAGACTTGAGGATGAACGAACCTATCTTGGCCTTGGCCCCTGTCGCTGCGGGCGGCGCCGAGGAGTCTGATTTCGCGGCGGCCACGGCCTCCAGGTGGTCCTTGTCGACAATGCTCAAACGGCGCGTCGAGCCGAACGAGCCTGACCGCCGAATGAACGACCCCAGCTTGGTGGCGATGCTGCCTCCTCCTCCTCCTCCTGTTGAGCTGCCGCCGGCTCCGCTCTCACCCTCCTCGGACTTGGCCGGGTCGACCACGTTGGTGACTTTCGATTCGCTGGCGGCGGGGAGGCGACTGATGGCATCGCTCGCGAGTTCCGCCTCCTTGCCCACACTCGCCAGCAGGACGCCATCCTGGAGCCGCGACGACGCCCGCTTCTGCCTCCGGTCCATCTGAACTTCCTCCTCCTCCTCCTCCACCGCCGCCGCCGCCGCCTTCGTATCGTTTCCTACGACCTCGTTCTCCCTGTCTCTGTTCTTCCCCTGGCCCTCCTCGTCGGTCACCTTTTCCCTCTTCCTCTTCTGGGTTCCCTCCTTTCTCTCCTTCTTCTCTCTTTCCCGCTCGCGGCCGTGGGCCGTGGCCTTCCTCTCGCGGTCTCGGTGGTCTCGGTGGGGCGGCTTGTCGGCCACGCCGTCTCGGTTGGGGTCGACCCGTCGCTCCGAGGTGGAGCGCCGCACGTGCTTGTGATGGCCACCGCCGTCGCCTGCCGCCGTCAGCCGGTCCTCCACAGCTGGCCGATGCCGAGCCGAGAGAGACCCCGACAACGGCTTCTCCTCGCCCTTCCGCTTCTCCCTTTCTCTCTCCTTCTCGTTCTCCCTGCTGGCTTCGTTCTCCTTCTCGTCCCTCTTCTCTTTCCTGTCGTTTTTCCCTTTCTTATCCTTCCTATCGCTCTTCTCCTTCTTCTCCTTCTTGTCCTGGTCCTTGGTCCGGTCCCTGTCCTTCTCCTTGGGCCTCTCGTGACTCCTCAGTTTCTTATCTCTCTTCTCCTTCGTTTCCGTCTTCTCGTTTCTCGTCTCCTTTTCCTTCTTCTTCTCCTTTACCTCCTCCTTCTTGGTCTCCTCCGTCTTTTCCTTGGCTGCCGCGCCGCTTCGTTCTTTGTAGTGGGTCTCTCGCTCTTTTCGATCCGCCGTTCGCCTTTCCGCCTTCTTCCTGTCGCCCTCGGCCGGTGGTTGTTCCTTCTCCCGTTCCTTCGTGGTGGTCCTCTCTCTTTCCTTGTCGTCTCGCGGCTGGGTGCCACTTCGTTCTTTGCTGCTGGGGGCCGCCTCGGCCTTGCCCGGCTTGCTGACGCCGCGGGTGCTGTTCGTGCGCCGAGTGTAGCCCTCGCGCCCGACGAGTTGCGAGCTCCGGTCCATGGCGCTGTTGGATCGGAGGAGGCTCGAGCGGCGCAGAGAGCCTCCTTTCTCGGGATTGGCCGCCGCTGACGACGACGCTGGCTTGGTGCCTTCGCCAGTGGCCGACACTGTGCGGCTCACGCTGCGTGGGGCCTTGAGGTTGCGCTCCGACGACAAGAGCTTGCGGCTGCTGCTGGACGCCGACATCGACCTTTTGGAAGGCGACGACGCGCCTCCTCTCCTCTCCGACTCTCTCGGCGATAGGGCCTTGTAGGAGCTGGGCCGGCGGTCTCGCTTGGGTGAGCGCTCGTCTCTCGACCTCTTCTTCCTGTCGCTCTTCTCCTTCATTTCGTTCTTATACTTCTTCTCCTTCTTCTCTTCTTTGCTTTCCTTTCCGGTTCGCTCCTTCTCTCCTCCCGCGTTGGCCTTGTCGCGGTCTGTCCTCGATCTCGACCGCGGAGTCGTCGCCGGCGAGGTAGATGTGGATGTGGTGGCGGCAGGCGTAGCGTTGCGCGTCGAGAGCGAGGTGGACGAAGGGGACAGCGACAACGCCGGCATGCCGGCGCTGTTGAGATCGATTACCGTGTTGCGCTTGGTGGAGGGGGCCGTACGCGGTGTGCTGGAGCGCGTGCGATTTCCATCGACCAGCTTGCTAGCTTTGGGGGTGGAGGGCGGCTTGTCCCGCGCCGACGTCGGTGACATCGCAGCCGCGGCCGCGGCGGCGGTGGCGGTGGCGGTCTCGGGGAGGGGGGCTCTCGATCCCTTGGGAGGCTTGCCGTCATTCTCGCTGGTGCCCGCCTTTCGGGAGGCCGACGATGAGGAGGAGGACGACATCTCCTCGTCCTACGTGTGTGCGTGGGTTCCTCGGGGGGGGGAGGAAAAGGGGTTCCTCAGGTCAGATCTACTTCTCTCTCTCTCTCCGTGTCGACGTGAGTCCCTCTCCTTTTTTCCCGTCTCGACCCCCGGGGGTACTTGTTGTTGGCGTCGCTCCTTCACGCGCGAATTCCTCGTTTGGCATGGCCGCTTTGCCGTCGAAAAGACACCAACCAATTTCCCGGCACGCACGCTGTTCTTTTTTTGGTCTGATTTCTTTTGGCCCGGTGAACTCATCACCCGCTGTAGGTGGAGCTCCTGTTGCGCCCCTTCTGTTGCACGCGGAAGGAGATACTTCGCTGGAGCTTCTTCTCCTGTGGGTGGGTGGGTGGCGGCGCGAGCACGACGCACAAGACATAGCACACACACGCACACAATAGCCAGCAAGTCACGTCAACAAGAAGACGCGCGTAGGCAGGGGCGGGAGGGAGAGGGGGGAGGCGAGCGTACCTGCTTCTCGAGCTCCTTGAGCTGCTTCTCGCCGTGGAGGAAGGACTGCGGCATCCACTCGTCGAGGCCTGGCCGCTTCCGCTCCTTCCGGCGGAGGCTGCCGATCGTGGTGCCGCGCAGTCGCACCGAGCCGGTCTCCTCCTTCTCGGCCGCCTGCGCGCTGAGCTCGCACTTCTTCGCCACATCGTACAACTCCTTCTCTGCTCGTATCGTGACCCCCCCCCAAGCATCATGAGTCGGTCATGAGTGTGTGTCATGAGTGTGTCGCATGCATCATCATCATCATTGTGTCGTGTGGAACGCACCAGGGAGGGTGGTCACGTTTTCGAGATACTCCTCGATGGGCACGACGGGATAAAATTTGTAGGGCGTCTTCTGGTATCGCTCCACTTCGGAGATGACCTTGCTGACGAGGTGCATCTTTTCGAAATTGACCTGCCCGGTCTTGAGGTGCGACGGCACCTCCTCGATGAACGTGAGGTCCGCCAAGAAGACGCCTATACCCCCCCCCACCCCCGCGAGTTGGTTAGTGTTGTGGGATGACACATACACACCTACCACACGCGCGCGTGTGAGAGCCGCGTACCCTGAAAGGGGATGAGTGGGGGCTCGATCACGTCGAGGCGATCGCGGTAGTTCTTGTAGTTGGACGAGGTGTCGAACATGACCTCGATCTCCTTGAGCTTGCTAATATACTTTTTATCTACATCCTGTTGGTTGGGTTGGGTTGGTTGGTTGGTTGGTGTAGCCCCTCCCGCGAATCAGGACTGCCATGGTCTGCTACGACCGTACCCGCCACGTGGACTTGAGCCGCTGCACGCATCCGAGGTTGAGCGACGCGTAGATTTCCATGACCCCGTGGAAGTTGTTCATGGATCGCAAGTACTGCCATCGCACACGCACGCACGCACGCACAACCGATACAAACGGCACACAAAGAACAAAGGGAGTCGTTGTGGTTCAAAACATGGTCGGTGATGGGAGGAGAAGCAATCCGCAGGAGGAGGCTGTACCAGCGCGACTTGGATAAATCGGGAGAGGACCTCTATCCGCGTGGCGTGGTCCTCCGTCGTGATGATCTCGGTGGCCACCCAGAAGCACACCTGCGGGCGCAGTCCACCACCACCACCACCACCACGAAAGAGAGAGAGAGAGAAGGTGGCAAGGATAAAGAAATGTTGATGATGATTATGATTATGATTTTGCAGATAGTGGGGGGGCACCTTGTTGAATCGCTCCGTGATGGCCTGCACGTTGGGCGCCCTGCCCTTGGTCCATGCCGAGTGGTGCAGCTCACAGGCCTGAATCTTCTTGTATAACTGGGGTGGAGAGACGACTGGAAGTGTTATTCTTATTCTAATTATTATTTCGCGCAGAAGGCGTGCATCGTGTCGTTGGTGTGTGTGCGCGCGCGCCCGCCAGTGGCGCGGGAGATGGCAAGGACGTACGTTGAATTCGACGAGTGTCATCTGGCGAGCCACCTCGAGCGGATGAAGATCGAGGAACATCATGCGATCGCTCTGCATGTTGATCGGCAGGATGGGTTTCAGCAAGGGATCCGCGCTCTTGTGGTTCGCCGCCGACGCCTGCTGGTTCTCCCGCCGGGCCATCACCAACGGCCTGTCCTCCAGCACTTTCTGCGGTTGCGCTCCCACTCCCCGGTGAGTTAGGTGCGAGGAGGGATGCAAAAAATCCTTCCTTCCTCCTCCTCCTCCTTCTTCTTCTGGGGACAGAAACAGAGGTCACGCACCCGCAGGGCGGCGGCCCACTCCTGATGCTTGTCGCCGTGCTGCTCGAGTCGGGTCATGAATTCTTCAAAAGGCCTTCATCAGCTGCGGGTCCTGCTCAAAGAAATAGTGGTGGTTGTCGATCCACCTCTTGAGCGTATTCACAATTCTGTGGGAATATATGTTCGCACACCGCACGCCACACCGCACCAAAAAGAGCGAAGGAGTGAGTGTGCGCGGTGCGGTGCGGTGCGGCATGAGGGGAGAAGAGAGAAGGGGGAGGGAACCGTGTCTGTGTGCCGAGTTGCTTGCTCTCGATCACCTTGAGCTCGCCGGGGCCGAGGCCCGGGGGCGGGGAGGCAAAGTAGTGCTCCTGGAGCTTCTCGAGGAAGATGGTGGAAGTGGTGAAGTAGGTGTGGGAGAGGAGGAAGGTGTAGACGTAGTCGGGACCCGTGTAGCCCGTGAGCACAGCGAGCTTCTCCGATTGGTTAGACTCGATCAGCTGTGCGACCAGTCGCTCCAGCGTGCCCGACACGATGATCTGGCGGCCATCGCGCCTCTCCCACCTGCACACACGGCACAGCACGGCACGGCACGGCACGGCACACGAGCAGATGAGGGAATGCCCCATTATTATGCAGGAGCTTCATGTTTTTGAGGAGGAGGAGGAGGAGGAGGAGGAGGAGGAGAGACGCACATGAGTTGCTCGGAGTAAGGGGTGTGGCGTGGCGAAGAGATGGCCTCGTCTTCGGTCGACGACGACATCGAGCCGCTGGTGTCTTGCGCGGCCGAGGCCCTCAACTCGGAAGATCCGGGGGTGAGCGGCGCAGAGGGCGCCCCCGCGGAGCTGCTGCCGTGGGCCAGCGTCATGAAGGCATCCGATGCACGCCGCGCCCGGGCGTCGTGGGCGCCGTCGTCTTCCTCGTCTTCCTCGTCGCTGGCCATGGGCCGCACCACGCAGCTGTCACTGCGGATCTTGCGCAGCGCCGCTGTTGCCCGAGGCAACTCGTCCTCCGACAGATTTCGTGCCCCTCGCGCCACTGTTTTTTGATATGTAACGGTAGGCTCATCAGGATTCGCACACGCACACGCACCACCGCACACGCACACCGAAATATCAAAGTCACCTTGGGGGTGTGTTCGTTTCCGCGGTGGGATGAAGTTGGCGGCTGCGGCGGCGGCGTGGCTGTTGGAGATGACGCTGCCCGACGACGAAAATCGGCGGATGCCGCCCTTCCGCTCTCGCGGGCGCGAGCGGAGCAGGACCGGCTGGGACCCGGTCCCGGTCCCGGTGTTGATCGTCGACGCGTCGCAGGCCCGCACCCGCGTGGGTGTGTTGGTGTCGCTCATCGACATCGAATAGGGGCCGAGGGCCCGCACCGAATCCGGGAACGGGCTCGGGGTGATGCTTGACACGCTACGTGGGAGGCTGGTGCTGTTGCTCTTGGTGGATCCGTGTGGGCTGCGCGGCGTCTTCGCCTTGGGCACGTCGTAGTTGTTGTTGTTGCTGCTGTTGCTGCTGCTGCTGCTGCTGCTGTCGCTGGTGAGCGTGGTAGTTGGGGTTGGTGTTGTTGAGGGCGTTTTGAACAGCCGGGGAGACGGTGTAGAGGCTGACCGCGGGGAGCGAGGCGATGAGAGAGAAGACGAGGAGGGAGGCGCCAGCGACGATGTGGGCGCGGGCGAGACCGCAGCAACGCCCCTCGGGCGGCGCGCCAGCACTGCCCGCCGCGGAGAGACCAAAGCATCACACGAGAACCGCTTAGCCAGAGCGCCTGAGAGAGAGAGAGAGAATCGAACGTTCGTACCATCTTCAGCGGAAGGGTCTAGGCCCGCGGGGGACAGGTTGCGCCACACCCTGCACGCGCGCGAGCGGACAATCGATTCGTGTGGGCAAAGGTACACCGCGCGCGCACGTGTTGAAGGGAGTGGGTACTTGTTGCGGTTTTGGGTGGTCTGGATGAGGTCGGCGAACTGGAACAGCGGGTTGGTCACCTTGCGCTCGCCGCCTTCGACCACCACGGTGGCCAAGCTGCTGCCCCGCTTCAGGCTGCTGCCGCTCGTGCTGCCCGTCTTGGGCGATGGCTGTCCCGCGCTCGTGGGACTCCGTGGCGGGCTCTGTGCGGCATGAGAGGGGGAGAGGGAGAGAGAGAAGAGAGAGAGACGCGGGTGTGGCGCACGAGCGCGGAATATCGTGGGCGGCACGGCGGCAGGCAATGGAATGGGGAATCAGAAGGGTGGCACTGCAATTGAGTTGAAAAGTGAAGCGGGGAGGATGGGCATGCCTGTTTGGAGTGGCCATGCTGCGACAGACTCTTGAGTTCGAGGCTCAGCCTTTCCTTGAGCGTAACTGCGCGCCGCACGTGAATGACACATGTGTTGGGGTGAAGTTGCCAGACAGACTCTGCGGTGAGGAGGTACCTGAGCGCGACGTGGCCGCGGCCGGGTTGAGGAGGTCGCTGTCCTGCAGGGACGGCCGCTTGGATTTCTTCTTCCTGCACACGTGCGCATCCACCACATATTTACATAGAGATATAATGGACGACGAGGAAGAACCAGGACCACCTGGGATTTGGGGGGGGGGTTGAGGAGAGATCGCAGCAGTACCGTACAGACATAGATCAGAGAGAGAGAGAGAGGCCGATCGAAAAGAAGAAGAAGAAGAAGAGGAAAAGGAGATGGGCGAGCAAATATCTGGGGCCTCCTTTGGTCTGATGTTCTAACCGTGGACCCAAGAGGCGAGGTCGCGGGAGGAAAGAGGGAAGGGAAAGTGGCCCCACAGTGCGCGGTTGGCAAATGAAGACGAAGAGATGGAGAGTTGGAAGGTGAAATCACCGCCGCGTCGTGTCTGGGTACCGGTATTGTTTGTTTTCTTGAAGACCACAACAAAACGACGCCCCTCCACCCATCTTGCCTGATTAGGATAAAAACGGTAAAAAGCTCAAAAGTAAAATAAATAATTATTCCTTATTATTTTATGTGGTTGACTTTCAGAACCACGCGTAGTAAATAAACACGGCGCTCCAGCTAGACGGACACAGATGAAGAAGAGGAAGGAGAGAGTAGAGCAGAGCAGAGTTGAGAGTAGAGTAGAGTAGAGACCGACGAGGGAGCTGAGGGGAGGGGAGGAAAGGGGAAACCTCGAGAGCGGAAGGAGTGGCCTACTCAGCCTTGGCGCTGCCGTTAGGAGGACTGCTGGCGGGCGTGGCCGGGCTGCCGCTGCCTCCCTGGTTTGCTGCGGCAGCGGCGGCGGCGGTGGTGGCCGCCTTCTTCTTGTCCTCGGCCTCCTGGGCCAGGAGCGCGAATCGTGCCCGGTTGTCGAGCAGACGGTCGTGGCAGGACTTCATCCCGGGCAGCAACTTGACCTGTTGATGCGTCATAAGCAGCCCCGGTCACACGAATCCGTCAGTCGAATTACGACGAAGACGAAGACGACCTGCAGCAGCGGCGGCGGCGGAGGCGGAGGCGGCGAGTGTGGACGTACGAGGGTAGCGTAGAGGGGCGCGACGAAGAAGTCAACGAAACCGACCACCATTTTGCCGGGCAGGCTGTTGTCCCGGTCCATGAAGGGCGACACGGGCAGGCCTTCCTCCTTCTCCTTGTCTCCCTGTGTGTGTGTGGTGCACGCACGTGCCGTTTACGTTCGCACGAAAGAGGGGAGTCAGCATGCGGCGACGGCACCAGAAGAAGAAGAAGAAGAAGGGTGGGCCGCAGGTTGAGGACTTGATCGATCTGGGTACCTGGGCGAAGAACTCCTCCTGGACCATCTGGGACCAGTAGGCGGCGATACGCGGCGGGCGGGTGGGGTTGGAGATGTCGGCGCACTTGAGGATGATCTCCAGCAGCAGCGCCCTGTGCTCCCTATTTTCACGCGTGAACTGGTCCACCATCGTCGTGAACCTGAACATTGGACAGTGGATGCGGCGTGGTTAGTCCGGATCATCATCTTCTTCTTCGTCTTCCTTCTTCTTCTTCTTCTTCTTCTTCTTCTTCTTCTTCTTCTTCTTCTTCGAAAGGAACGGGACGGGACGGGATGCGCACTTGGTAACGATCTCGACGTGCTTGAGCATGTCGGTGGAGAGGATGCAGTTGACGACGATCTTCCTAAGCTCGCGGTATTCGAGGTCCGTGAGACCGGTCAGGATCTCGGTCTCGGGCTTTCTCATCAACAAGAATGCCCTGCGCGCGCGTACAACAAGCGTCAGCCTCCTATTCCGAACGTGGTGTGTGTCCGTCGTGTGTGTGCTGTGAGCGTCTGTGTTCCGTACCTGGCGCAGTGGTGGTTCTCCAGAATGGATCTGTCATTGTAGCGGAGGGCAAGCGAGTTGGAGGTGTTGGCCAGGAACGTGTTGTTGAGGCCCGGATGTTCAAAGTCGTGGCAGATCGCGGAAATCAGCAACGCGAAGATCTCCAGGTGCGTCACAAGCTCCACTGCGAGCAACAGCGACGTCACCGTCAGTCCGTGAACAGCT